CCGCCCCCCTGCAGATGAACAACCACCTCCACCACACCGACTACATGGTCCTCCTCCGCTACATCGGCTACACCACCAAGTCACGTGACCTCCGCCAGCTGTTGATCAGCCTGTGTGCCCAGGTTGCCATGGCGACGGGCGGTTCGGAGGACGCCGTGCCCACGGAGATGAAGGAGCTGCTCAAGTACTTCTCGGACATGTTGACGTCAGTGCCTACGTCACGACGGTCAGTACTGGGCCAGGGGAGGGAAAAAATTAGCTGTAGTAAGAGTTTTACGGTACTTGCAACACAATAAGGTCATACAAAAGCCGAAGATCAGAGGTGTTACAAGAGAGTAACAAACACCAAAAAAAAAAAAGGAGGGGAGATAAAAACGATAGATGTTTGACAGGAAAGAAGAAGCAAATCACACCAGAGCACCCGCGAACCACCCACAGTGGAGGGAAAGGAGGGTGCTGGGGAGGGTGTGAGAGGGGGGGGGGGTTCCATAGTTGACAGGATTTTTTAAAATTCAAAACCGAAAGTCCGGGTTGGAGCCTCGGTTCGGACACATATGTGTTTCGCCCCCTCTTGCCTACCGAGCAAAAATGGGTACCTGACTTCGAGTTGGGGAAGTAAAGGCGACATGGAAAGGAACTGGCCACCCTACCACAATATGCCGAAGGCCCAGGAAGTTGGCTCACTAACAAGGCAATCCCCAGTGTCCGAATCGGATGCGGGAACAATTTTGTTTTATCGTTAACTGGTTATTTGTACTGGGGAACATTGTGATATCGTACATGTTTAACTTCTCTTTCTACACTGTAACGAGTTTTTAGAATTCAGGACTCGCGAATGTATCATCCATCTCCAATATAGAACTGAACTAAGTGCACACAGAGCCTTAGAATTTCCCCAAAATAACTCCCAAGTAGTTCACAACGCCCCGTTTGGGATTCAAAACCAGGGCCATCCGCTCCGTAGACCAGAATGATATCGATTGAAAAAACGCCAAAAAAAGCCCAAACCCTATTGCACCCCATGCCCGCCGGCTTGAACCCCAAAACCTCAGTAGGGGGCTCTCGTGGCCTTGAGGTTAAGGTGCTCGCCACTTATTCCCGGGTTCGAATCCAAGTAGCGACCGAAAATTTGTCTTCTCTAAAATTGTCTCCTTTCACCTTCTCTCTTGCAATATTCTATCGTCTGCTTTCGTCTCCACTTTCTGCCCCCACCCCCTCACCTCCTTTGCCCCTTCACTGAGCTCCTGACTCTTTCTGCAGCCGTTCTACTGCTTTTCCTTGGCTCCCTCTTACTGCTGTCTTTCAGCCACACCCCCTAATCTTTTAGTAGGAAAGATCTACAGCTAGCCTTCTCGGACAAGGGTGAAAAATCTCGGAGGTCCAGTGTGCAGGTTGCACACGTTAAAAATCCCTTGGTGGTCTAAAATCGATAAGAGCTGGTTTCGGCCGTCACCCGTGAAAAATTCAAAATTTCATACCCACTAAAAATGTTTTTTGTGTCCAGCACGCTCATATGACCTTATGCAGTTGCGACCGCCTTAAAACACTAAACAAAAACAAAACAAAAAAAACAGAAAACAGAAATCCCCAGTCACTCTCGTCAGTTACGCTTCATACCGTCCCCAGACTGATCATCCTTCTGGACGGCCTGGAACTGCTGACGTCAGAGCACCAAGACCAGGTGACGTCTTGGATACCCCAGTGTCTCCAGCCCAACGTCAAGCTGGTCATCACGGTATGTACACAGTGAGAGGGGGTGGTGGTAAGGGGGGAGATGGGAGGTTGGAGGTGAGAGGATGAGAAGTTGGGGGG